GATAATTGTCACCTTCTGTCATTTTATGACAGCTATGCTTGTATTCTTACATTTAGGTTAGCTATTATAAGTCAGAGGTTCTCCCTCTTCTGAAGCAGCACAAAGTAATATATTTGACCCACACTGATTCCCGACTTGCCAACAACGATCTCCGCACTTCCATACAGAAGCTAAGGTGCCGTGTGAATTACAGGGCACTAAAATACTCGACATCAATAGAAGAACTGGCAAAAGTCTTGGTTTCAAGATTGCGACAAAACAGTAGCCCTTATATTGCTCTTCATTTGAGGTGCGTATTAGTAGCAGTTTTGGTTTTTTTTTCTGAAATTTTTACACTGGAATTTTTGTTCTTTTTTGAATCACATTTCGTTACATAACGAGAGCGGTAGCATGTTTTACACTTTTATCTTTATTAAAGGATTTATTTGTGGTTTTCACGCTTATCTTTTTTATAGAATGAAGACAGACAATTTGGAACTCACACACGATGTGTTGTTAAGACTTTAAGAGTTTGACCTACTTTCAAAACCCAAATAAAATTATATGTATTTTGCCCATTTGAAATTTAGGGTATGATTTATGAATCTAGTCTCTAGGATTTCTAAAACATCATAAACTTATAATTTGATGTTTATCTTTGATAAACTTATGCTGGAATCAAAACTTTGTAGGATACCAATTTAAATAGCATTCTCGGATGGTTTTGATCTATATTTACTTTTTTGCAGGTATGAGAAGGATATGCTCGCTTTCACGGGCTGCAGTCATAATTTGACTGCAGTGGAAGATGATGAGCTGCGTAGGATGCGGTATGAGGTCAGCCATTGGAAGGAAAAAGAGATTGATGGGTCAGAGAGAAGGCAGCTTGGTGGCTGCCCATTGACCCCAAGGGAAACTGCTCTTTTGCTTAAAGGGCTGGGTTTCCCATCCAACACAAGGATTTACCTGGTTGCTGGTGCAGCTTATGGAACTGGGACTATGCAACATCTCACAGAAAGTTTCCCAAATATCTTCTCCCATTCAATTCTTGCCACAGAACAAGAACTAAATCCTTTCAGGAATCACCAGAACATGCTGGCCGGTCTGGACTATGTTGTTGCCCTTCGTAGTGATGTTTTCGTTTATACCTATGATGGTAATATGGCAAAGGCAGTTCAAGGTCATAGACGCTTTGAGAACTTCAAGAAAACTATCAATCCGGACAGGTAGTATACCTTAGAAGTTACAACTATTATAACAGCGTAACCTTGTGGTCTTTTTTTAGTTAGGATGACACTTGGTTTACTTTATTTCCTAAAATAAATCCACTCAACTCAACTAAGGCATGTAATTATCTAATTTTGTAAATGCAGGATGAATTTTGTAAAACTAGTTGATGAATTTGATGAAGGAAGAATTTCTTGGAAGAAATTTAGTTCTAAAGTGAAGAAGCTTCATAAAGATCGAGTTGGAGCTCCATATATGAGGGAACCTGGTGAATTTCCAAAGCTTGAAGAGAGTTTTTATGCAAACCCCTTTCCTGGATGTATTTGTGAAAGATCAAATGAGAAATAGAGGTGGATCATAAAGGTTTTGCGATTTTTTTGTGAGTTCAGCTGCTAGAGAAAAAACTCTTGAAGAATTTGTTGCCATTGCTTTACACGGTCCCTCAGGAAGTAGCAGGGTTAAACCTTCACCAGGGAAATTAACTACATCACTTTGAAAACAAGTCAGGTTGGAGGGGCGCATACTCAGTTCTGTAGTACCTATACGATGAAGTTCTGTAATTGCAGCTTCATTCAGGGTACACTGCAGAGAAGAGAATCTTACTACACTTACAGTGATCCATCGAGAAAGTAGTTCACTTCATCAATCGGACATCTTTCCATTGGATTATATTTTACAAGGTAGGTTGTTTTGAGGCTGTTTACTAACTGATGAATTACGAGAGGGTGACACAGAAAGTAGTGTGTTACTTTCAAATATCAGTTACACGAAAGTGATATTATATGGTGCAAATGGAGCATTTTATTGTCGATGGATGTACAACATTCTCAACGGAAAATTGTCAGTAAGATCTGCATTAGGATAGAAACCAATGGTCCAGGTACTAGTATTTGACATACGAACATCACGCTTGCATGCGCGCGCGCGCATACATACATCGTCCCTGTTGTAGAAGTTATGGAAAATTAAGCCTGCCTCTGTTTATTCGAGAAAGCAGAATTCATTACAGTATGAACTGAAAAATGACATTACAATAGGAGAGGAAGAACAAAATTCATGCCCACTACAGCTTCAAAAAAGACCCATGCTGGCTGCCTTAAGGTGGCGCGATTAACGCACTTCCATCATTCAGCTAGAGGATAATCCCCTTCAATTTTCTCTTTCTCAGGGTTGCCCCCGTGTTCACTCAATACAAATGGCAAACCAATAAAAATTTAAATAAAAAAATAAAACTAGAAATTGGCAAGGCACTACTATTGTAGGATAGACTCAACAAGCTCATAGAGAGGCGCGAGTTCCCCCTTGTCGATCAAGCGAAATTCCTGCATCACATACACAACCAAAGTAATAGCTTATGAGATATCTGGAGATTCAAATCTAGCTGATGTTCAGATCTGCAAAAATGATTTTACCCTCTCTTTTTTATTTTTTATTTCGTCTTTCCCATTTTGAACTCATAATAGTGTTGGGAACAAGAAAAAAACTTTAAAAAAAAATAAAGGATTTAAACACCAACATTTTTAGTAAATAGTTGCACTACTAATAAATAACCCTATGGCTCTGTCCAGGGATCTCCTTGTAGCATTTCATTGTCCAGACTCTAATTTTCAGTTAAAAGAAAGAAAGGACACAACCTGGAACCCCCACCCCACATTTTCCTTCAAGATGCATCGTTAACACTTTCAGTGGCCTTAGCGAAATTGTGGTTGCAATTAGAAGACTGGGTAAGAGAAAATATGTAATTTTGCTGGGTCAATTTACATCCCAACAACGTAGACCGAAAAAAACACTTCCAACTATACAGAAGCTGACCAAAAAGGTTTGTTTCTTCAGCAGTTAAAAGCATGATCACCAAAAAATTGTAGCACAAAGATGAAGTGATGGCTCGGAAAGGGGCCATAGGTTAACTTGTGGCTAAAAAGAAGGAAAGAAAGAAAACAAGAAAAAAAAGGTAAATTGTTAAGACTAACTCACAATGAAGAATTAAATACGCTTGAGGGTGGAGGACAATGTGGTGGACTATACACAAACTAGGCAATGAGTCCATAAAGGGCAAAACTGAGAGCTTCCCTAACAATTGAAACTTCATGCAGATGATAAATTACCCATGTAAATAGAACAAAATGCTTAAAGCACGTATTGAGATGAGCTTCTTCCTTCAGACTCACGATCTTCTGAAAATGTGAGTGATAGATGTGGGCATAAACACGAAATAACCGCTTGAATATTGTCTTAACGACATCCTGAAAATTTGGTGGAAATGGTGCACCTGCAGCACACAAAGATCAAGATAAAAAGCCTGAGTGCTTCAACCAAATGCAACATTTGCGAGGCATAAAGTATTTCCCTATACCCAATTTTTGAGGAAAAATTGATTCATTATCAAGCTGGGCTTCAATCCAGTCCATCAGATACTCCACATATTTAGGAGCAGAGACCTCTATGGGTTTCTTTATAGCAACTCCGTCAGCCCATCTATATTCATACCTGAAGACAATTATGCTTAGTTGAGGGATTGCAGTATGTCTACATGATCAGCAATTGATCCCAAATAGAGGAATATTGAAAACAACAAAAATTTATTTTAAACGTACTCATAACCTGAAGAGAAATTTATCACACCACTAAAAGACCAGAAGAAGTTAAAATGGGATACACTGGAAATTGACAGGAGGGTACGAAAATCATGTGTGTTTGCATTAACATCTTTAGATGCTTTGGGCCCAACAATTTACTTAAGTAACATGCTTTTACCAAGATAAAATCCCTTCACAAAAGCATCACCACTTGAAGAACGTTTTTAATGATAACAACTGATTCATTTGATACATTGTTATTAGATTTTCAACCCACTGAATCATCTGGATTTTTGGATGTGAATAACTAAGTACAACTCACTCCAGTCTTGCAGTTGCAGTATTTTAATATCTTCCAATCTGTTAATTAGTATTTTCACTGGCACAAATTTTTTTCTCTAATCATTATTCCCCCAGCAGTATTGTTTGCATCACTCTGCTCCAGCACCCCCATCCCAACTTCTCTCTCCCACATGCAGGGCTGGGGGAGAGAGAGAGGGTGCTCCAGATTGTACAATGAAGCTTTATTAACTCAGGGTTGGACAGGACAAGCTAATAATTTCAGTGACAGTACTAAACGTGCAACAACAAAATGCAAGTAGTAGTTGATGAAGCAATTTTGAACATAAAAGTATAGAACTCAAATTTACCGAGCACAATCAGCTCTACATAGAGGTTTAGGCTCATGATGGTAGGAAGGCAAACTTCAGCTGAAACCAACTCCTTTCCCTTCCAAGAATGCTTTACTAAAATTGCACATTTTGACTACACAATTATATGGACAGACACTATTAATGCCCCATTTCCAGAATTGATCACCCTTGCCGTTCAGAAGAAATGTGTGTGTATGGGATGATGTGTAAAAGAAAAGACACATCACTTAGGTATTTTTAAAAGCTCAACAACAAAGGCAGAGAAGAAGCATCACACTAAACCAACATCCCATGTATTAAATCAGAACTCAGCACTCTGGGAAGGGCAAAGAAAATTACTTTGGTCCTGCAGTCATTGTGGACAGGTCGATGCTGTGCAAAATTCAGTAAGGGTACCATACAAAATGTTCACCTGATTAAAAAAGTCAACAGCTGTAGAAAAAGGAAAACAAATGATATGAGGTTAACTGCAATGTTGCAAAAGATAGCCTGGCATTGACACTACAAATGTATGTCAGTGGACTTGAACATACACGTCCAAATCTATGCGTCTACATGTAACCATATAACAAATAACAGAAGCAGAAACCTAGATACTAGTAATATCATCCAAACAAGTGTTTTCTGGAGTCAAATGGATTAGTGGGATAAAACAATCCTATTAATGGATTAATCATAGAAGAATTTTTTTACGAGTGCTGATCTTAGTGTAGATGGAGGGCAGCATAAAGTTGGCATATGCAAACACTTGCATGATCCTAATTGATCCAACAAAATAAGCAATCATGCTTCAAGTTGCAGCTTAAACAACAGGATCATGGAGTTTTGAATTTGTTCTTCCTTCTTAAGGATTCATATTTGAACCTTGGTTCCAGTCTTACTAATGTTTTCCCATCACTTTTCTATAGCATTTACTTTAATTTATACACACCATTTACTATGGCGTTGAATTTTATCAGAGTTACTTAACTCGGCTAGTCCTATACAGTTAATATAAATACTTAGAGAAACATTAGTTTTCTTTCCTTTTTTGGATGAACATGCACAAGGGAATACATTAATTTGCTTTCACATAATCACCATGTTGCAAATATCACATCAGGATCATTTGAAAGTTTCCATAAGAAAAATACAAAAAAAAAAAAAGTAACAGGAATTCATACTTTCTAAAACACAAAGTTATTATAGTTGGAAAGTTATAAGATTGAAATTCTTACTATTCACAGCCAGCCACTCATTAAGATCTTCCCCAGGGGGTAGTCGCACAGCTTCTCTCAAGTTGCCACTACCCAAGGTAGCATCGATGTGCCTTTGGAGTTGCGCCCCCTGCATTTCAAATAAAGTCAAAACGGAAATGGTATAGTAGCATCACCAAAGAGGTAATCACCAAAGTCCATGCAATTGATATTAAAGCTTTGCTACTTTGAGTTTTAAACAAAAGAGTAATTTCATCAAGAAAAACAAGTGAACAAAAATGAGAAAAAAAAAAGTAGAAAAGAAAATGAATTAGCTACAGAAGCTTAATGTAGAACACTGACCTTACTTCCTGATGGAGCACTTTTTTTAGGCCGAAATGTCTTTTGGTTTCTGCACTTATCAAAGTCAGGAGTGCATTAGTATTTCTTTTATTTAAAAAAATTCCATACATTAGAGGCAAGGAATAAAAACAGATAATAATCAAATCAACACGAGCATAAATAAGGTGTTCATATACATAAGCAATTAATAAGAAAAATAAGTTCAACAATTCATTTGAAGCTCATTACTCCGGCAAAATTTAAGGGGCATAGGAAACTCAAAGCACGTGAGAAACATGTAGGCCTTAAAACACCATGGGTTTGTTTTTTTTCGAAAATCTTTCCCAATACTCACCGTTCATTTGAGAGAGTTATTGATACGCTGAAAGACTTCTTAGAAATGAAAAAGATCAAGATAAGCCTTTAACAAACAAGTTTGCTCCTTTTACTGAAAGTAAGCAAAACTCAAGAACATAACTCGCCAGGCTACCATGCATACATTTCAATTTGTTCAAAGGAAAAAAACTTAAATTTTTTAATGAAGTAAATCATTTGACTCTATACTCCCAAGTGAAGCCAACAGCAATGCCGAAGAATTGATGTCCAATGAAAAAACACGTACCAAGATTTATGGGCCAAAATAAAGTTTGCCAAAGTTTTCGATTAGAATTGTTGCATAAATTACTAATTATTTTTTAAACAAATATAATCATGGTAATGAACACTTGAAAGTATCATAGACCCCATATCGTCTATAATTAAATCAACTTGAAGTCTGAACATCAAAATCCGGTGTTATAAAGGTTAGCATCTAAATTCTGCCCCTTAATTATTTCGTCATAACACAATAGCTCAAATCAACAGGTGTCAAGATTCCTTCTCTGATTCATAGGGAAGCTATAAGTACAACCGAGACCCATAGAATGTGTCAACCCCCTCACCTTGTAATTTATTAATCAATACCTTGAGAAGCAATCCAATGAATTATCATCCATAATCTTCCTAGTCAGATGAAATTAGTTTTGATTTCGGTCTTATCAGCAAAAAATAACGCAACCCACAGACATATAAATCAAAATTCACAATCATTTCATATTTCATCATCATCAAACAACCAAATACAAAAAATTACCAAATATCTCCAAACATTAACGCATAGTATACATTCATACACCTATCTTATAATACATACATGCATGGACGATGAAATATACATATGACATAATCAGAATATTTTCAGAAATTGAAATAGAGATCGAAACGCAAAGGAAAAAAAAACCTGTTTCCAAGTCCGAACAGACTCATGGTAACAAGAGCTTTGAAATGGACCTATTAGAGTTCAAGGGTTCCTTTTGTCTCTCCCTCACTCTAGCAATCTCTCTCCCTTTCTCTCTCGCAATACAAACGAAAAACAGAGAGAAAGCTTTTGAAGAAGAAATGAAGGGTATATGTATGTATGTGTATACGTATATATTCGTATTTATACATATATATATATATATATATATATACGTATACAATGGATAGAGACAGAGAGAGATAGCCAGATAGGTGTTAAATGACAGACTGGCATTAGAGAGGTCAAGCAATACCTCTCTCTCTAAAAACAGTAGTAATTCAGAACCAGCCAGGTCGTCTTCTTTGGTTGCCATTGCCAGCCTACCTGGCTGATTCTCCTCCGAAAATATTAATTTTTGCGTTTTTTTATATACTTTCACTCGGACCCAAAACGAGTCTAACTAGAAACGTGGCAGGTCTGGATTGATTGAGTCGATTTTATTCTGACATATCAGAAACATGAAATCAATCGTCAGTGATGTACTCAAGGATTACCCAAGATTTGGAACATCAACGTTCAGCATTTTGGAAAAAGTACACCAACAACCCTCATAGTTTGGCCTTATTCATGTTCTACCTTCTTATTAGATAAAATGACACTAACACCCTTTATCAGGGTATGTCGGGTCATTAATAGGGCATGCATATATTTTTTTTCTATATTTACTCCGCAAGTAATATTTTTTTTTTCTATGTGTGATCTTCTTTTATACTCTGTTAAGTGCTAGGATTGCTACACCTAAGTAGAACGAAAATTTCAAAAAACAAAGTTAGAGTATTTTTGGCTATTAGCAGCGCATGTAATGTGTTGCACGTGAATAATTTTTATATACAGAATATTAATAAAAAAATATTAGGTATATGTCTATCTACATTAAATATCATATCAAATTTTTGAAATTATTTTTTATCACTCATATTATATTATAGAATTCAAAAAATATTGTATGTTTCCAGCAATACGTTATTTTAATTATAAGAAAAAAGATAAAAATAATTTATTTAAAATTTATTTGATTAGGTTTCATCTTATAATTCATTGAATAAGATAAAAATAATTGTTAATATTCTAATTAATGTTTACTATAATTAGGAATTAGTTCGGTCAATAGGAATAAAATATAGGGTTAATTATACTTTTGGTCTCTAAAGTATATATGTGTGATTTTTGTCAGCTTAGTCTTCAAGATATAAATTTTGTCAATTTAATCTCAAAAATATCTAATTTTTATTTAAATGGTCCATAATCAGACAATTTATTAAATTTTTTGACGAAAATTATCACATGTGATTCTATCAAATAATATCATATAATCAAAATTTGATTACTTCTATCCAAAACTTAACAATTTGAGTTCAGATCCTAATGATTTGTGGGATTAGATAGTTCTTTAGAATCTTAATGAATTTTAAATCTTGCAAACCAAACAATAGAATGGGCATTACCATGAAATGTCCATTCTATTCTTAACAACTAATATTACATACTAAACACAGTGTTAGAGTTTAACTTAGATTCATTAGTAAAACAATTTTTTAGTTGCTAGATATTAGATAATAACTCTTGTGGCCGGATAATGTTTTTCAAAGAGTTATGCTATCGAAACTTACAAAATTGATCCAATTGTTGAAACAGAGGTGCGCTTGAAGTGGGGGGAGTCTGTCCCTATTGGGCTGGGCCCTTCCCCATAAAGCCCCACCATCGCGCCCGTCCTCTTGCTACCCATATGCGAGCCGTCATCTTAGCCTTTCCAGAGTAGGTTCGCTCCTATATTTGTAACGTTCGTGATTGGCCTCCTCATCTGTGTAGCGATGGAGTGTTTGATCATCTTGCTTCAAAAGAGAAGTAGTACTCAGTGTCGACACAGGAAACTTCTGAAAGTTATGTCAGTGATCTTTCAGATCAAAATTGGAGAGCTTTTTATGCTTTTCTTCTTTTGTTACAATACTGTAAAAATCTTTCTTTTTGTTTCTCAATGTTATTAAAATTGATTGTAAGTAGGACTTCATCGGTTTTAATTTTAGATGTAAAAACTATTATTGGACTTTAGTTACAAATATAAATTTTACTTGTCAATGTCACAAAATTGATCACATTTTACAAAATTCTCAAGATTTTGAATATGTCCTTTCTTATTTGTGAGATAAAAAAAATAATTCTTTTAAGTGTCAAAGAATAAGAGAAATAGTGAGGAAGATACTATTAGGAAGGTGGGGTTTTATTTTTTTTTTTTTTGGATTTGAAGAAACAATTATATGCAAGTATAAATGAGAAAAAAATATTTTCAATTTATACCCTTTGATATTCACTTCATATGGTCCAATAATATAATTATAATTAAAACCCTTGAACCTAATTGAGACTATATCATTTGATATATCATTAGGTAAATAAATTAATCAAAATTTTAAATCCCAACAACGTTACTCCCTAGATGATGGTGTGATATGCAAGAGTACACAAATAGTTACATTGTATCTATTAGAGAAGAAGAGATTTTAGAGAAGATTAAATTACGAAAAAAAAAAAAATACTATTTTTTGTAATTATCCTGAAAAAATGGGCGTCCAGGGTCCCTTCTCACCTCCCACCTCCCACACACACAAAAAGTACATCTATTCAAGAAAACACTTGAAACTGGAACGAAAAATTATTAACCAAATATGCTAAATGTGGCCTTTAGTTACTACATCACTCTTTTATCTTTTAATGAAATGTCAAATACTACAATTAAGGCCACATAATTAAATTGGTGCCACATTGTGTTGAATATTCAGTACTATCAGACTCCACATTAACGTACAAATTATTTGTTTGACTATTATTTCTTTTTTTTTTCTTTTTTTCCCCTATGCATATTGAGAAACAAACCTAGTAAAACATGAACAGTTATCCAATTTATTCAGGTAAAAAAGCCCTAGGCTAGGCCTTCCCTTGAAAGAAATGTTGCTTATTACAAACTGACCACCACTTAGATTCCACTCTTCAAGCTTATATTTTGGCACATCGACCAACAAACAAAAGCATTTCACGAGACACTTGAGACAACAATATACCTCGAAAAACCAAACCACCGCAAACATACTAGATCGTAATCGTGTGCTACCAATCCTTAATCAATCAACATACATAATTCAGAAACATGAAAATGCCAAATTCTCCAAGAGATTTAGAGGCACAGAGAGGGTTTTACTGCTCAATTAGTGCCACCAAGGACAGCCTTGAGCTTCTTCACTTGAGCAAAATCAAGGAAAGTGACCTTCACCACCAATTCAGTAGGCAAATCGTTTGCAAACAACGCGAAATCAGTGATTTGGAGACCCGGGTTGGGGCTACTGAAGCTCGCAAATGCAAGAGCAGGTATTTTCCCTGAATTAAATTGGAAGTGCAATAATCCCTGTGGAAAAACCATTATATCTCCTTTGTTGAGAGTTTTAAAATAGACAACATTGGCGGAAGAAGATATGAACCCTGCACAAATAGTCCCTTGGATAACAATTAGGACCTCTGATGCTCCAGGGTGTGTGTGCAATGGAATGACACCATCTACAGCGAGGTCTAACCTTGCCGTGGACAGGCCAAGGCCATTGACACCTGGAAATTGAGCGACAAAGGCCGGGGTCACGGCTGCTTTGATGAGATTGCTAGTGTTGCCGGCAACACCCAAGCCGGAAAAAACGAAAGCGTCTACAGTGACTGTGGAAGGCTTCTTGCAAGGGTAACCCGAAGGAGTATCTGACAATGATAGGTCCGCGACGCAGAAGTCTTGCACTGAAGCTTGAGAGGAGGAGAACAGGAGTGCAAAGGTGAAGAGGATTGTGAGAAACATCTTCATCAAGTGTGTGAGTGTGTGTTAGGCCTTTTAGAATGTTTAACTTTGATGGGGTTTGATTCATTATATAGAAGGTGATAGCAAGGGCCGTCAAGTGGTCAATGTTGTTTTCTGTTTTTAAGCCATGTATGTTGTATTATGTCAAAACTTGTTTAACTAATATCTAATTCATTTATAAAATCGTGTGTAGTCAAATTCGTCTCGTGTTTAGTTAAATTTGTGTCGATAGTTATACTTAACATATTTGGCCGGTTCACTAATTTACTATTCGAATTCGCTAAGACAAAACTTAAGCTCACTAACTCGTGTGGGATTCAGGGGTTGTGTGGTGAATTCATACGCTTAGTGATACCAGGATATATTATTGGGGACTAATAGTATCAATCCCTAAAGATGTGGCCATGAAATCTATCACGGGCATACACTGTAGATTAGGAAGGAAAAGACAGATTCTTGGCTGTGATGCATTCAAGTCTATGATTTTTATCAGACAAAAACAAGAAGTCACTTTTTGTTTGGACTGTAGGAAAAGATAAGCATATTCCGTCAATGTAAAAGATATTCATTCAAAAATAAGTATATGGTTAACAAAAGTTTAAAACAACCCTTTTTCGAGCAAGGCTTTAGAGCATTCTCACTGATTTTGATATTCTCATTGATCCATCTCATTTTCTAGTGTGAATCTATTCTTTCGTTGGTTGTCGGTTCTAAATAGTTAAAACAACACTCGGTTAGTTGAATTTGGATATGTTTTCTTCCTATGTATGCTTTGTGTGTCATATTCATATACTAGTAATTGCCCGTGTCTGAAGGCACAAAGTAATAAAAAAAAATTGTGATTAATTAAAATGCATACTAAATCAAAATAATTTGTATAACACATAAAACTATCTGTTCAACAATACTACTACTAACAATATATTATATATAATTATGACTATATACGTTAATATTATACCAAATAATTGGTTTAACACATAAAATCTCAGTAGTTAATATAAACCAACTTTTATCTTTAAAAAAATTTCGATAGAGTTCTCCTTGAAAACATGATTTAATTGACAATATCAACCTCTGTGTACAACTCATAATCAAACCTTTCTATAAATAAACACTACCTTAAATCAATAATCT